GTCATGCACTGACCACCTCTCCGCTTCTTCCAACCAGTCCCAGAGTCGGCAAATAATGCACGACGTGGAATTCTCTGGGACGACATTCGTAGAACATGTCCAAGCCACCGAAGTCGATGTTTCAAGATGGTGACACCAATTGAGTTATCATCTCTGTGCCCGAACACACGATGCCGAACCTCTGCATTACTGACATGGTGTTGCCACTGAATGTCAGCAATCCTTCGGAGACAGCGATGATCGAACACAGAGAGTCGTCTAACGTCCTCAACTCGGAGAGGCCAGGTTTCACAAGCATAGAGCAAAACTGCTCTTACCGACGCGTTGTAGATCCGGCCTTTTACAGCCAGACTAACATCACGAAGGCGCCATAGATGGCCCAGATTGGCATAAGCCGCTCTGGCTTTCACTATTCGTGGATTGATCTCATCACTCACACCCCCACCAGCACTTATGCAGCTACCCAGATACACGAACTTCTCAACTACGTCTATCTGCTCACCGTCCAGGGTGAGTACAGGATTAGAATCCTGCCAGTCTTGTAGAAGTACTTTGCACTTCGAAGGTGCAAAGCACATACCATACCTACGGACATTGATTGCCAACTGATTAAGTGCAGATTGCATGCCTTGGGCATTATCGCACAGTAAGACAATATCGTCCGCATACTCAAGGTCGAGAAGTCTTTCTCCAGGCAACAGATCCACACCACCATTACTTACATTCATCAGAGCTGTTTCCAGAATGTCATCGATGGCAAAGTTGAAGAGGAATGGTGAGATTGGGCAACCCTGCCTAACCCCACTGCTCGAATGGAACAATGGAGAGAGGTGGTTGTATGCCCTCACTCTGCCTGAGGTGTTTTTATACAGGGCTTTTAGGATGTTAATAAACTTCTCAGGCACACCCTTCCTCAATAGACAATCCCAGAGAACAGTCCTATCCAACGAATCGAAGGCAGCCCTGATGTCAAGAAACACTACGATTGTTGGCCTTTGAAAAGTATGGCGGTGTTCTAACATTTGGCAGAGGGTGAAGATATGATCAATACATCCTCGACCAGAACGAAACCCAGCCTGCTCCTCGCGAGTCAATCTTTCTCGGGTTTTGAACAACCTACGAAGAATGACGGAAGCCAATAGCTTGGACGCAATCGGAAGTAAACTTATCCCCCGATAGTTGTTACAAGAACGACGTGAACCCTTTTTAAAGATAGGGACAACTATCGACTCATTCCATGACGTTGGTACACTCTCTAGTTCCCAAACCTTTGTAAACAACGTCGTCAATTCCTTAGTCAGAAAGTCACCACCATCTTTAAAAAGAGCCGGAGGTAAGTCATCTGGGCCAGGTGATTTGTAACGCTTCAAGAGTTGGAGTTCCTTGCGAACTTCCTCCTCATTTGGTGGATCAGTCGTCACCGGCCATGGAGGGCAGGACAGTCTGACCGATGTTGCCGGAGCAGCAGGCCAGTTGAACTGCCCTTCGAAAAATTCTGCCCATCGTCCAAGACGTCGATGGATGTTAGTGATTGGCATCCCGTCATCCTCACAGATTGTTTCACTCACACCAGACTTCTTGCTGCCAGTGGCTCGGATGAGTTGGAAGAGCTTCCGGTAGTTACCAGATGCAGCTCCTGCTTCCAGCTCATTAGCACTCTCCGACCACCAGGCTTCTCGGTCCTTACGCAAGCTTTGCCCGATTTCCTTACGTAAAATCCTTCGTTTATGGTCAAACTCACGGTTACCCGGAGTAGACCGACGGGCTTCAATGAGTTGTAAGGAACCAGAAGAAACCCAGTGCTTAAAAGCGGGACGTTTCGCAAACCCACAACTGACTGTTCCCGCCATTTTCATGGCGTCATGCAATTGCAACCAATGCTCATCTATACTTTTCGGTGGAGTGGTAGCTAGCCTAGAGGCTAGCTCGGTTCGATACTTACTTGCAACAGAAGTTGCAACCAGCTTGCTAACATCAATCCGTTGATGGCGTTCACTTCGTTGTCCACTGAAAAGTAAGGCAAGATTGGCGCAGACCAAGGCATGGTCAGAGTCCAGATAGGTACTCCAAAAGGAGCGGCAGTCTTTTACACAACCACGCCAGCAGTAGCTGATCGCGATGTGATCAATCTGAGTCCAGGCTTGAGATGCAGAGGGAGGACGCCAGGTGGCACATCGGCGATGACTGTGCCGAAAGTTAGTGCTAGCCAGAAACAGGTTGTGGTCTGTGCAAAGTTGCAGTAGACGGTCCCCGTTATCTGACCTGCGACCAACAAGTCCCCATCGGCCACCTAAACGACTCTCTTCTGTGCCTAGACGCCCGACCTGAGCATTCAAGTCTCCGGCTAGTACTACAATATCTGTCGAACGCACTTTCTGGAGAAGAACTGATAACTGGTGGTAAAACTCATCCTTGATTGCATCCAGGCTGCAATCTGTCGGGGCATAGGCGGAGATGACGAAAAGACATCGTTTCTCACGCCGATTTCTTCTCACTTTGATGGAACTTTCTAATCTAACAGCACATAACCGACTGTTAATGGGGATCCAATCGACTAGTGCTGCCTCAGCTCTAGCGCTTAGTGCGACACCAACGCCAGCAAAACCAGACGAAGATGCCACAGGGTCCCCGGATAAGCGCACGTAAAACAAGCTTTTCGAAGCGACAGACGGAGATCGAATTTGTAGTACTTCGCCAGAGTCTTGAATACGGGTCTCGGATAGACAACACACGTCGATATTAAGACTTTCCAAAGACATAGCCAACCCTATCTGTTGTCCGACCTGCATAAATGTGCGAACGTTGAAGGCAGCCAGTTTGAATGGTGCACGTGGTTTCAGAAAATCTGCTTCAGTCCTCGTATTCGGTGGTAACATACAATTTTCAACCGGACAGTGACTCGAGAACGTTTAGATACAGTCGGAATTCCACCAAAGACGAGCCCCTGTATAAGTATAAAAGAAGGTGAATAATGTGGAAAATAATAATAATAATAATGATAATAATAACAATAATGACAATAATAGTAGTAATAATAATATTAGTATTAATAATGACAATAGTTGTAATGATAATAATCTGAATCAATTGTTTGTTTTTCAAAGCGACAAAAGTAATTTCCATAGACGTAAAGAGTTCATCATTTGTGTGTGGGCTGTGATACTGCCCGGGTGCCCAAACCGAAGCAGGTGGTTATCTTAGGGGGCCACTCCCCGAGCCTTTGACCTAAGGGTCTAACCCACAAGGCAGTGGGGCATCGTAAGGAGATGCAGTCCCATGGTAGCCGGTGACCAACGATTGGTTCATACGCCATTCGTTCCCGCAGGATACTGGAGCCCATGTGCACCATTGATTTGGGAATCCGGTTAAAGCGCCGGACATTCGCTTTTCGTCCTCTCATTTTCGTAAACAACACCCCCGCCACGAGAAGGCAATGAGTAGGACTTCCCTGGCAGAGGCTGTATACGCGTGGCCGTGTGAGAGTATTTCGAGAGGGAGAGCGGACTCTCCCCACTCTCGGCCGTACCAGGGCATTCAGGGGGCCCAGTTCAGAAAACAAAACTCCATCAAGATCATCCACCTGAGTTACAAATCTTCTCCATCCCGAGAATGGATATGATAAGAAGTGTTCAATCTAGGGCCGTAGATTATGACTGGTCCTCCTAGATTTATCAGTCAGTCGGCTACAACGTAGGACCAGGCTCACGTGTGCATCGGGCCAAGTTGCTATACCATCGTTTTATATTCTAGGATGGATGATTTTGTGAATTAATGTACACCAAAATCATAATTAAATTTAATTACAAGCTATGGATTTTGACCACTCATCTCTTATAAGGTTAACATCTAGAAAACCACGAGAAATAGCTGAAGAATTCCCACATAAATGAAGAGTAAACTGTATTGCTTCTCCATAATGATGAGGTAAAGTGAAGTAAATAGTCACTCCTAAGTACTGTATGCAGGTTTCGGAGAAATAGCATACATAAATCGTGTGGGATTACGGACTTCTAACTAGTGGAACTTGTCCTATCCAACTTAAAATCAGATCGAAAGCTCAGACATTTAGTTTGGGCCTTGCTTCAGGAGGTGAGAGATGATATTTCGCAGCATTGAAAGGCTTGGTAACCGGGGTGAAAGAGAAGCTACAAATCGAGGAAGGAAATGGTTGTCAGGACCAAGTTCGGTTGGTGTATCAGTGATTGATACTCTCCAACTGAAAATAACGTAGAAGGATTATTCTTGTTGAACGACAGGAATAGTATTAAGGCTGCAACATTAGTTATCCTCAAAATCAACCACACAACCAGGATAAATGACTAGATCGGAATTCTGGGGACTGAAAACAAAATCACTGAGAATGGTAGATATGATCTGCGAATTAAATCGACTTGACATCATCCTAGCAGTGCCAAAACGTGGGTGGTGTATTAAACAATAGTACTTCACAGCCGAATATTGCACTAAACTATTTTAAAATGTTGTATTCGACATCATATCTTCTTACCCCACCCTACTTATTTCGACTAAGTAAGTTAATTAGAAATACTGACCTTCACACACAAACTGTCAGTCATTTGTGGACGGAGTGATCACAAGGGCTTGAAACTGAGTACATGAACTTATACTGTTACCTAGATAGATTTAAAAAATTGGTTGTTCTAAGAGATATTGTCTTACTAACTATTAAGCGTGTCATTACTACTCATTAGTTTTTCCAAAATGTATTAAAAGAAAGGATCGCGAAAACTTCATTTAAATTTATGGAAGGGATGAAGTGCATGAACTCAGTCATCAACAATGTAGAGCCTCGCATAGATGTGCATTGGCCCAAGTTGCTAAACCTCCTAGGCACAAGATGAATGGGAAGAGACAGAAATAACGTACCAGTCTATATAATTTCATATTACCATAACACCTATTACCTCTGGAATGCAAGTTAGTGGTAGCATAAGAAAATATTTAGGCTGTCTTGAACGATATGTACAAACAATATGAAGTCAAGAAATATAGTCATCTTTTATTTCAGCAACTCGTTTATGTGCTAAGTATAAAAACGCAATACTACACATAGCACTGATAAGAAAGATTACGTCAAACCAACGATGATAGAAATGAAACTGTAAGTCACCAAGTACTTGATTTAACATATTCCTATACTCTGCAGTCATATTCATACGTAAAAGCAATACAGAAGAAACAAAATAAGTACCCATTATTTGTGCTATGATTAAAACAATTATATTCGATGATTTTGTGCTGGCTATAGCATGAAAGAATTTTGTTAAAGTTATCAAGAGTCCACGAATTGACGTTACAACAATTATACCGACGAGCCAAAAAGATATTTGTTGTGACCAAAATTTTACATCAATTTGAAAGCCTAGATAATGTATAGTTATACCCATAAAGCGTGTTATAGGATCTTGTCCACCGAATCGATTCAATAAAATATTTACAATGGATATAAATATTTTCCAACAGCAATAACCACAGAAAAAGTAGCCAAGACAATTGAAATATTTCCCTTTCCATGTTTTTGAAAATTCAATACGTTCTTGGGCAGTTCGGAGGTAGTGCAGTTCCAGAAATAATTGACGGCTTAAGTCCTCAAGGACAGATATCTATATATTTTAAAAGAAAACAAGAGAAATTTACGATGAATACGAAAAATAATCCTCGTGTTAGATTTCCCTACTGAACGTAAGAAATAGTGAAAACTTTCAGGGTAACTTAAGAATTATAAATAAAAAGGAAAATGATTCTATACAGTATCACAACACAAGAGTTCTAAACGAGTATTCAGTTGAATTTTAATAAGACTAAAATGTTTTGCCGTATAACTAATGTCAGAAATAACAGTGGCATCAGTCAAAATGGGAGTATAAAGTAATAAATAACTAGGTGATAATGTTTGATTAAAACCCTGGCTTATACAGTTGTAGTGGTAAATAAATCCCCAAAATAAATAGCTCTGTAAGTTTTCAACATTGGATGCTGACCATATGTTTTAGTGGACCCATCTAGCTGAAGGCGCTCGGTCAGGCATCCGCACCAGATCACGTGTGGTAACGCTGTGCTCAACATCTACCGCAATCGCTAGCCAGATTAGATCAGAGAATTCCGATATATTGGTTATCGCCAAATACACTCTCCCGATCTCCTCGACTCTGTCTTTTGATTTCTCTTGGTGGGTACGAATAATATTAGGTGTTGCTGGTAAAAGCGTTGTCAAACACTGAATACGTGTGTCATCTTCACAGTCAACAGTAAGTAAGCGATGAAAATTCAGAATGCCTGATGTTTGCTTTCAAAAGTCCAGGAAAACTAACTTAATAGTAGTGAAAAGTAGTTTCAATTATTATTCTATAAGTTGTAAAACGTTGGTTGAATAGCTGTCCTACTTATTTTGAAGCAACTACACATTTTTTCACCATTAATGACCACACTATTGGAAACGATAATAACCATAGTAGATTTTTTAGCAAGATTTCCTAGGCTGTAACTGTGATACATTCCGAGTATGCTGGGCTTTGTAAAAACATTTTTGATCATACTTCGAACATTATCATAATATTAAATAGCAGGAATTTGTATTGAATGAACATGACTGAAGCGTAACATGGAATTAATAACTATAATTTAAAGCATCTGGAAGAACCGCACTCGTAAAAGTGGACGGTTGTTATTGAGGTTTTATTTTAAAGGTAATATCCTTTTTATTAGGGGCTTTCTGAATATATTAGTGTAGTATGTTTGACGTCACAATCTATAGATGTATAGCCTTTTAATTGCACGAATTCCTACATTCTTAGTTCTTTTTCATGAATTACATAAAATAAAAATGCGGTTACAGGAGTTGAATTTCGATTATTAAGCCATATATTCGGATCACAAACAAGGGTTAAAATACGAACTTTTACTTGGCTAGTGAGCTTAACTCGATCCAAATCGATGGCCTGGAAACCGAAAAAAACAGGTGATTAAAGGTCACACTGTTTTAAACTTGAGAGTGCCTATCAAGATAAAAGATGTTAAGACAAGAATCGGTTTTAATACAATTTAGATTCGGAACTGAAAATTAACTTTTTAAGACAATAGCTAGACAAATGACTCAAATATGGTAACAATGTATAAATAAAACACTAACCTCATGTTTCAATAATTTTTCGTCAATACGAGGTGATGAAATGGACATTCCAACCGTCCGTAACATATTCCAAAAGGTGTTAGATTTTTCGTTGGTAGTACGCTGAAATTCACATGAAAACATTTTGCGGTAAAACCTGGGAGCTATATAACGACTAAGTTCTGCAAAAAATAACACTCAATTAAATAAAGGTCGAATGCCCAAGTGTTGGCCTTCAGAAAAAACCAGCTGTCTCCGTTTGGGCGCACAAGTAGTATCTCAGCTCTTTCACAAATATAACTGAGTTATGAAGAAAGTGGTATACCTGCTTTGTTGTGGACTAACAAAACGCAGCAGTCTGATCTGTGGTGTTGAAGTTAATAGAATAAAGCGGCACATTGAGTTAAAAAATATGTCTACGGCGTAACATGCATAATAGGAAAAAAACAGACAATCTCAAAACAGAAATTAAAAACACGCGATGGACTAACTTTCATTCTTGCCTCAAATTGAAACTGAGCTAGTCTTCGACGCTTCACCAAAATCATATCTACAGTTTGTAACAATCTTCTCTCAGCTGTGCGTATTTCTGAGTTTGAAACGGACAAGGCGAAGTAAGTCATACATGAATACGGATAATTGACAGCACCAAAACCGGATAAAAAAGCCATTATAGTTACTCCAACTACTCCTATTCGACCAATACATTGCTCCAAGAATACAATGCCATGTTTTCCACTCAAAATAGGGAAAGATGTCCCCACTTTCCAAAAGGCATATAAATATGCAGTCATAAGTGCAAAGGAGAAACAAAGTCTAATTGAATTTTTAGGAGGGATAACTCGTAAACTCTTACTGATATAAAATGATATGTAAAATGGGATGATTATTATGACATCTAAGAGTGTTGTTAAAAGAATAAACTGCCAATGTATGCGCCTGGAAGAGGCTTCCAAAATATCTAGTATTTCAAAAATTACTAATTCGAAAACTGTACAAGACAAGGAAAAAGTGAGTGAGAAGATCAGTACTACTATGGAGTCCTTGACTTCATAGTCACGAAAAAGCTGTCGAAGAAAGAAAACCCATCCTCCTATAAAGAAGGCTATCTGAGAAAAAAATAGGGCGCACGAGTCTAGTAGGAAACTCATAATAAGCGCATGGCCTTGACATATCAACAAACACAATGTTGAGACTATGAATCCATACTAAGCAGACATATTTTTGTGGTCATTTGTGTAAAATTATGTATGAAAAAGGAGTAATTGTGGCAACGAATTGGTTAGCGCGTTTTTTGATCTTGGTGAAAACTATGCTAGTTGACCGAAGATGGATAATATCATAAATGAACATGAAAATAGCCCACTCCAGTCTGAAGATGACATTTTACAATGTGATAGATATGGCTTTCGTGGTGGCCAGCAGTATACAAATCCAGAGGAGTAGGTTAAATGAGTTTTTACATCTGGATTATTCCATTTGTTTAATTTGTACATTTCTCTTTGGAATCATGTGCCTAAAACCCTAATGCACTTTTTGAATGCGGTGATGCCTTCTCAACAATCCGCCAATATGGTTCTTACTTCTAGTATAACCTAGGACACCATGCTGTTCATTCGAAGAGGGTTTAGTAATCAACCTCAGTCCCTTTTCTATACCGATTTATCCAGATTTTTTGGGGGTTATTCCTGTTTCCAATTTCACATAGAAAATAATTATTCTTATCTGGTCTTTATCGTCACATTTACTGTTTACTTTCTAACTTCATCCACCTTATCCTATAACGGTGTTCATTTAGTTGTGCTAATGAGTTATGGTAACTTGGTTCAATATATATATATATATATATATATATATATATATATATATATATTTGCCTGGTCCTATTTTGTAGATGACTAACTATCACTGTGAAAATAAAATCTAATTATCAGTTTTTGTCACTTAATTTACTCAACCTCAACGTATATATTGAATCTTCCTATCTTTTCAAGATAAATCCATATAATTCATAGTACTAGTTATTCGTTTCTGCCAGATAAGGAAACTGGCTAAACCCAAGCTTATTCTCCTTTATCAAAGCCTTCCAAATACTTCTACGTTGATGTAAGTAATACTTCATTGCATCGAAATGCCGTTTATCACGTTCCTCATTTCTGTCTGTGGTCATATGGTCTACATGCTTTTAATCGAGCTCTTTTGGGTACCTGGTAAGTCCTATATGGTTCAACCTGTTTAATGTTAAAATGCTCAAGTTGAGTAGTTTCCAAGTACTTTCGTTAAAAGTCATCCAGAAATCTTCCTAACAATTTTGTATAATTAATTTCAATGGTTAAGATCATGAGTCAGTTGAAGCTAGACCACCATGAAAGACCTGGAAGCACTGGACGGCCGTTTCGCCCTATTGTGGGACTCCTCAGCAGTGCGCATCCACGACCTCACCCCTTGCGAGATTCGAACCCATGACCTACTGGTTTCGCGCTCGAGCACTTAACCACTAGACCACTGAGTCGGCCGGCATCCAGCGGTGTTAATGTCTAACTTCAACTAATCCACGAAATTGAGCGACACACCCACCATTGTCTTCAGTCAGTTGTTATCTCACCACAGACCTGGTTGGACTCCACTGGTCACTACTTCTCACTAGAACTCCAGGATATACCTCGTGAAGCCAGTCACTATTGAGCATATTTTGGTCAATATCAGACCACAAACGAAGGTTGTTACGTAGTGAGATTGGGCAAAGCTTGCGTAAGGACCGAGAATCCTGGTGGTCGGAGAGTGCTAATGAGCTGGAAGCAGGAGCTGCATCTGGTAACTACCGGAAGCTCTTCCAACTCATCCGAGCCACTGGCAGCAAGAAGTCTGGTGTGAGTGAAACAATCTGTGAGGATGACGGGATGCCAATCACTAACATCCATCGACGTCTTGGACGATGGGCAGAATTTTTCGAAGGGCAGTTCAACTGGCCTGCTGCTCCGGCAACATCGGTCAGACTGTCCTGCCCTCCATGGCCGGTGACGACTGATCCACCAAATGAGGCGGAAATTCGCAAGGAACTCCAACTCTTGAAGCGTTACAAATCACCTGGCCCAGATGACTTACCTCCGGCTCTTTTTAAAGATGGTGGTGACTTTCTGACTAAGGGACTGACAACGTTGTTTACAAAAGTCTGGGAACTAGAGAGTGTACCAACGTCATGGAATGAGTCGATAGTTGTCCCTATCTTTAAAAAGGGTTCACGTCGTTCCTGTAACAACTATCGGGGGATAAGTCTTCTTCCGATTGGGTCCAAACTATTGCCTTCCGTCATACTTCGTAGGTTGTTCAAAACCCGAGAAAGATTGACTCGCGAGGAGCAGGCTGGGTTTCGTTCTGGTAGAGGATGTATTGATCATATCTTCACCCTCTGCCAAATGTTAGAACACCGTCATACTTTTCAAAGGCCAACAATCGTAGTGTTTCTTGACATCAGGGCTGCCTTCGATTCGTTGGATAGGACTGTTCTCTGGGATTGTCTATTGAAGAAGAGTGTGCCTGAGAAGTTTATTAACATCCTGAAAGCCCTATATACAAACACCTCAGGCAGAGTGAGGGCATACAACCACCTTTCTTCATTGTTCTATTCGAGCAGTGGGTTTAGGCAGGGTTGCCCAATCTCACCATTCCTCTTCAACTTTGCCATCGATGACATTCTGGAAACAGCTCTGATGGATGTAAGTAATGGCGATGTGGATCTGTTGCCTGGAGAAAGACTCCTCGGCTTTGAGTATGCGGACGATATTGTCTTACTGTGCGATAATGTCCAAGGCATGCAATCCGCACTTAATCAGTTGGCAATCAGTGTCCGTAGGTATGGTATGTGCTTTGCACCTTCGAAGTGCAAAGTACTTCTACAAGACTGACAGGACTCTAATTCTGTACTCACCCTGAATGGTGAGCATATAGAAGTAGTCGAGAAGTTCGTGTATCTGGGTAGCTGCATAAGTGCTGGTGGGGGTGTGAGTGATGAGATCAATGCACGTATAGTGAAAGCCAGAGCGGCTTATGCCAATCTGGGCCACCTTTGGCGCCTTCGTGATGTTAGTCTGGCTGTAAAAGGTCGGATTTACAACTCGTCGGTGAGAGCAGTTTTGCTCTATGCTTGTGAAACCTGGTCTCTCCGAGTTGAGGACGTTAGACGACTCTCTGTGTTCGATTATCGTTGTCTCCGAAGGATTGCTGACATCCAGTGGCAACACCATGTTAGTGATGCAGAGGTTCGGCATCGTGTGTTCGGGCACAGAGACGATAATGCAATTGGTGTCACCATCTTGAAACACCGACTTCGGTGGCTTGGACATGTTCTCCGAATGTCGTCCCAGAGAATTCCATGCCGTACATTATTTGCCGACTCTGGGACTGGCTGGAGAAAGCGGAGAGGTGGTCAGTATATGACATGGTGTCGTGGTATGAAAGAAAGCTGCGAAGGGCTGGCTTGTGTCGGTCCTTCACGACTCTCTGGTTGGGGTCCGAGAGATGGTACAACACAGTGGCTAGAGACGTCATCAGATATGGCTCAGAATAGAAGCCAGTGGCGGTCGTGCTGTAACCTTCTTTTACTTCATAAAAAAGTGGTTGTATCTTCCTTAACTGAAAGATTTCTTCTGATTGTACCCTTCTGTTCCCCTACTATTACTATTATTATTACACTACATTACACCGATCTCTTCGTTATTGTTTTTTTATATCTTTTTTACGTTCCCCACTTTTTTCTATTTCTTAAATTCTCATTGTTTTGTGTGGCGCACATATATTTGGCGCACTCCTGTACCAATATATATGTGTTCAAATAAATAAATAAATAAATCAGTGGTCTAGTAGTTAAGTGCTCGCGCGCGAAACCAGTAGGTCATGGGTTCGAATCTCGCAAGGGGTGAGGTCGTGGATGCGCACTGCTGAGGAGTCCCACAATAGGACGAAACGGTCGTCCAGTGCTTCCAGGTCTCCCATGGTGATCTAGCTTCAACTGACTCATGATCTTAACCATTGAAATTACTAATATATCCACAAAACCCATCTGAAATTTTGTATAAAACAATTTCGCTATTATCAGCTGGCCCGTGTGGACTAATTTCAAGTCGAAGTATCAGTCAAAACAAATTTTAGCCCCTGATTGGGGATTAATTTTGGGACAATATCTTTGTTTTTGTTTGTCTTTCCTACAGACATACCAACGGTCCTCAGTTTCCTGGTTTGACCTTAAAATATAAAATCAACTCATTTACTAGGTACTTGGATATGGACCACTTTGAATGTGAGGGCCAAATAACACTAGTTGGATACCCAAACCCAAGTCGATACAGCGGGGGTCATAACTGGGACTTAATGCCTGAAAATCAAACGCATTAACTATCGAGCCACCACTCAAAGCTCTATATTATTCCTTTGGAATAGTATCGCTAACCTTCACATTTGAGGGGTAGATGAAAGTCGAGTATACAAGTTTATACTTAATTACTATCATGATGTAATAAGTAATAAGCATGTACCTGTACTTGAGTGGCATTTTCTGCGAGAGATAAATACTACCTAGCTAGTCAAAGGAAAGCAGAGAGGAGCATGGTGTGCTTCGGTTAAGATATTTACATCCTATATATCCTTCGAAAAGTCAAATACCAACAACGATGATTAAATTCTGACTTAAACTATTGTGAGATTTTGTTGTTAGGGATGACTCGAGTAATTCCTGAATTAACCTATATCGTAATCTACATTATTATTATTATTATTATTATTATTATTATTATTATTATTATTATTATTATTATTATTATTACTTGAACACATAGATATTGGTACAAGGAGGCACCAAGTACATATGCGCCACACAAATCTCATTTGATATGTATGAGGGCTGTGATACTGCCCAGGTGCCCAAACCGAAGTAGGTGGTTTTCTTAGGGGGCCACACCCGGAGCCTTCGACTTAAAGGTCTAATCCACAGGGCAGTGAAGCAACGTAAGGAGATGCAGTCCCATGGTAGCCGGTGACCAACAATTTGTTCATACGCCATTTGTTCCCTTAGGATGCTGGAGCCCATGTACACCATTGGTTTGGAATCAGGATTTTCCAACTTCCGTAGGTGGATCCTCTATATCCACCAACCCAGTTAAAGCGCCGGACATTCGCCTTTCGTCCTCTCAATTTCGTAAACAACAACCCCATCATGAGAAGGCAACGAGTAGGACTTTTCTGTCAGTCGTTATATGCATGTGGCCATATGAGAGCATTTCGAGAGGGAGAGTTGAATCTCCCCACTCTCGGCCGTACCAGGGCATTTGGGTGACTCGACCTCATCATTTTTACCCATTTCATTTACACATTTCAGTCTTGTTTTGACGAGGTACCAGAAAAACTGTGCTTCGACAACCTCACGTATTGATTCCTTGTCCAAAGAATTTGTTCTACTGAAACAGTGATAAGCCTTGCTCGTCTTCTCTGTTTTTTATATGCTAAGAACCAGTAGTAAATCCTACCAGTTATTGTCAATTCTACTACTTGGCTTTTTTCTAACACATGTTGTATCTTTTACCTTTCATATACGCGCGATACTACTTATTTATAATATGCCATAGATTTGTGTGTAAATGGCGTTTATTCTTCAAAACATCCGTCTCATACTTTATTCCTTAAAGCGAATGAATCAACTCAAATATGTAGCCCACGGTTTTCAGGTCTGAGTAGAATATCTTCTTTTAGGATTTACTGTTCGAGGTCGTCATAGTTACATTTTTAAAATTACCAAAACAGTATAAGTGTAGTAATTACCTTGTAAAGTAAATCTGTTATTTGATGGTTAAGGATATAACCGAGTACTTGTCTTTGAGTGGTAAATCCGGTAATGCAAGTATTAGTTCACGACTTTAATGACTTGACTGTTTACGCAGCAAATCTTCGTAGTGTCTTCTGTAACCCATGGTCCACACAATTAGTGAATGATTTTGCCAAAAACATAACTTTGTGCATGTTTTCGCCGCTGGCTAGCAGTTAAAAAACAGTTTGGTAGCCTGTTAAGTTCATAGAGACATGAGATTAAAATTACAAATCGTGTGCGGAAAGTTCACTTTTTTGTATCTATAAATAGATCAGTATAGCTTTTTAACCCAGTTTAGGTTCATAAACTTGGTTTTCGGTCATACTTTCGATGTGAAAACTAATGATGCTACTCTATTTCCAAAACCATAGTAGGAAAATCAGCTTCCAAACCTCTGACTTTATGATTAAAAAATGAATATCTTAACCACTAAGCCTTTGTTTCGAACGAATAGTCTTGTCACGATCGGACAAAAACCTAGCCTTTGTGAATTGAAGGTATTAGATATTACATAGTATCTATTAATTTCAGTTGCCTAACAATAGAAGTAACGTTGTTCATTTTTTACTTTTATCCGCCTAACCTCTTTCGGTTCGTCCAGTAGGATAATATCACTTCTACACAAGCAATATGTCATAGATAGTTACGTCAACATATATTCTTTAAGTTGCATTAAGTAATTACCAAGATGTTACTCAACATAAATGTTGTGTCTAGAATTTATAGATAGCACTTTGTTCCTTATACTTCAGTGAGTGTTGCTTAAAACAATTATGATTGTCAACATGAATAAACTGGCACAGAAAACGTATTTGCTTTCTATCCATCTCAGTCAAGTATAAGGATATCTATTTGTACTAGAAAACTAGCTCATAGTATGATAATACAAGACATTTACAACCCTAATTGACTATATATCGTCTAATTTTGTGGCTTTTATGGAACCGTTAATTAATTTTCTCAGTATGATTTCATTTTTACATCCGAGTGGACATTTTCATACGGAGGGTCCACCTAGGGAAATCTGAAAATCCTGGTTCCAAACCAATGGTGTACATGGGCTCCAGCATCCTAAGGGAACAAATGGCGTATGAACAAATTGTTGGTCACCGGCTACCATGGGACTGCATCTCCTTACGTTGCTTCACTGCCCTGTGGATTAGACCTTTAAGTCGAAGGCTCCGGGTGTGGCCCCCTAAGAAAACCACCTACTTCGGTTTGGGCACCTGGGCACTATCCCAGGGCATATGTATTTTGTGCCTCCTTTTACCAATGTTTGTGTTTAAGTAAATAATAGTAAATAAATAAAATAAAGTTCGGCTTCATGTACTGGTTCTTCACAATCTCTTGATAATAAAACCACGTATCTTGTCTTTAGTATATTGTAGCATTAAATTGTATCATCGTCTCAAATATTCTGCATCAGAGATACTTCCTTCGTCTCATAAAATTATTATCCTTTTCAAAGCATTATTTAGAGTGCATTTATTTCGCTTTTGTTTTAATTACTTTTTCAATACAAACAAACTTCGTTGATCTTCAGATATTATATTTCTTTACGATACTTCTTGTCCGTTATCGTAACAGCCCAGTTAATAGCTACTGCTTTTATTTTCTACTGGGACTTGTTCTTCTCAGATATCTAGTTGATATATTGACTGTATCGCTTATTCCTGGACCTTCTATTGCCAGATAGATCGATGGTAGTTTTGGGGCAACTAGGCAACTGTCAGATAATGAATATCTACATTGTAAGATGAAATCGTACAGTTGTCAAAATGAGCTGTTTTTACAACAAGCTTGATCGGAAAGATCAGCTTTTTTATCAATGTTGTTAAGGTTTGAATTGTAAGGATTAACTCTAAACACTTCACATCTTTCCTTGCTGTACAGATTTTGATTGTTCTATAGAGTACGAACAAAATTTTCTCCTCAACATCTAAAAATTAAAATCCAGCAAACTGCTAATACCAAAAAGACCCATATCAGCAATTCTTTTCATCTTTGTTTATTTTTCGTCATTGAGTATGGTTATTAATACTGTTCCCTTTAGCTTTTATGAGTTCAACTTCACGGTCAATGTTAATAATTCGAGTTTACGGAACAACGTTTTTTTAGATTTTTCAGATCACAGAATGACTATGATTATTTCGTTTCTTGATATTTTCTGAAGAGCATTTCAGTTATTTTTTACATATTTTTAGAGAAGATCGTGTTCCCATCGAGGTTATACGTTCACGAGAGTTAAAATGGAGAAAAATGTGTTCTAATTGGAGTTTATGGTATTTTAAATACCATCAAAAGCTACGTGATCGATGTCGAAAAGGAATTCCTGATTCATTTCGTTGTGAAGCATGGCAACGACTTTGTGCAAGCCCAATGGTACTTGTTCAACGTCAACGAATTACATGTGATGAAACTGTCGAGACAAAAACAACAATTACAGGAACTAATCAAAGTGTTGATCATAGTAGTAAAAGTAAATTTCCTAGGCATCGTTTTGGCACATTATCAAATCGAACAAATTTTAAAAGTTTACAAATGGTTATCACTTCTCCAAGTTTTCGTACTAGTCAAATTAAAGAAGACGATAGGTGAGTTTTAAGTCTATATAATGTTTTTATGGCCATTGTTTCACATGGCATATATGTACTCCAAGTGGTACTTTTGGATCGCTAATAATAACGTGTGACTTGCAGCTTGTATATCTACCTTTAAATACCTCTCAGGGTCCTCAAATTGCTTGATAGTCAAATAGTTTATGCCATGCGTTATTTATTCTAAACTTTTATTTAGTTATAGTATGTTTATTAATAAATTGTATGATGTAGTGAGACTAGTTAGTTAGTGTTAGCGGGACATAGACTAGACTAAAGCATGCTCAATGCATGATTGCTTTAGTGCACGCTGATTGGCTAATTCTTATCCAATCAGCGCTAGTCGATAGTTGGAGAATATTCTGGATTCTTCTTATGTAAAAACTATAAATATACCGACGTTTTCCCCTATTGTGCTTCCTACTGGCTTCTGACTTGCTACTTGGAATATAATCTCTTTTCCTGTTCAACCGTGTTTTGATTTGGGGACTTGTCGAGTGAATCGGTGTCCGAGAATACTAAGCAATAGGAGTAGCTGGGGCAATAACCGTAAGAAGAAAGAACAGAGTTATAACAGTTAGTAAAGCCGTTTTCTACATGGTCGATGGGGAAATGCATTTTATAAAATAATTCACGTGTAAATCGAACGTTAAGACTTCATGTGCGAAAAAAATCGTTTTTGAGAATGTTCTATACTAATTAACTCTACAGCACCTAAATTTTCAACTAATCATAGTCGTCTGTTAACTCATTAAATATCTCTGATTCATTAGACTAATGTATTAAAATAACTCTAGTACAAAGGCATTTTGACTGCACAAAATCTCGGTATTCGAACTTTTCCGGATAAAAAGACAAATGCTTAAAAGATACTAAACAGTAAATTATATTTGTAAAATTCGCAGCAATTCAACCTGGAATTAATGTTGTCATTTTCCCTTATTTTGTTTGTACTGCTACTGCATTGCAGTTGATCGCCTGTATTTACAAATCAGACTAAGTTTTGAATGGATCTCTTGTTTAGTGTCATCATTATTAACATTTCTATGGGTATATTACTTAGTTTTTAATACCTTGATTTTCACGATTCTCGACCTGATCTTAACAGGAATGATTAAATTATTAAATATTTGTTTCATGTCTCCCTATTTGTATACTCATATATTTGTATATGATATATTAGTTCGTATTATGTATGCATAAATTTATTTTAATTTGCACTGAATAATAGTATCTTGTTGATGTCCTTATAATTCCATGAAGAATCAATAAACTTTAATAATAATAATACTAAGAATAGCTATAATTGATACCTTTTAACGTTCATTTATTGTGATTCATTTTAATTTACGCCTTAATAATTGTTATTTAGTATAGGCCGATGCATATACGTACCTGGCCCCACGTTGTAACTGACTGACTGATAGGCTTATTTAGTAAATTATAACATTTAATATGTTGAATAACTAAAGCCTAATAGAAACCTACATATTATTGTGGGCTATTTAAAATAGCAATTTCTAGTTTATGAGGTGAAGTATTATTTGATATTTAGTTTTACTGAATTCACCGAGTAGTCTTTTCAACTTTGGTATTCTGATTGGTGCGGTGAAATATAAATAGTGATATGTTTCCTACTTAGATATTTAACTTGTTACGTGGTTGAACATAGCAGAAAATTGCTGGACCCATTCGTCTTGCTAGCCGACACTGTAGACGTACCTGCAAATTAAAGAAACTATTCTTCCGTAGTTCAGATGGTCAATAATGAATACCTATCATGTGACCTATTGATTCCTAAATGAAACTGCCTACCTAGTGAAGATGCTTACTTAGTGTTATCAAAAAATAAATTGAAAACATTGCCTAGATGATTGGATTATTTCTGAACCGATCACCTCTAACCGTATCGACGAACGAAAAAATAAACTGTCATTAGTAACATCACTGACTGTGGCACTAGGAGACGCCGGTTAGAATCTTTGAATGATTATCGATTCCTTCATGGTTGTAAATCTTGCCAAAGAGTACCAACCAATACAAAATTCAAGTCTAGGTTTTTCTGATGGTACCCTCCAACTATCTAATAGCACCAGACTTTTATTGGTTGAAACGCTCAAATGGCGTTTATTTATTCGCTTGACCCTAGTAGCTTAGTTTCGTTACTTTAGAAATCATTTTTGAATAGTCCTGGAATCCAGTGACCAATTCCGTTAAAGTTACATGCTAGGACTAGGCAAACCACGTGATTGTCAATGCACTTGAAATAGATTCTAACAGGCAGTTGTATGAGTAGTGTCCCGTCAAACAATTTAGTAAAACGTTGCGGTGCACGTCGATATATACGTGAATTCACTATATCTTGCCTACTGATACTAATGTTGAATGGTATAATACTATGCTTGAAACGAAACTTTTATAAGTTAATCACCAATCGTAGTTGAACTAACCGTTGATTTAAAATTTCTTTCAATACCCACTAAAGTATTGACTATTAATCAAAAGAAGAGTAAAGAAACACAGCACCATGTGATTTATGGTTAATGCATTGTGACAATACTTGTTGTTTATAATTGGTATGTTATTCTTTTCTTCGGTTCATGATCACGATTGTAATTGTTTAAGTGGAAAGAACCCACGTGTTATATATATATATATATATATATATATATATGTTATTAAGTTGCTATGATCATTTTATAAGGACAAATGTTTTATACTTAACTTATCAAAAGATTCTCCGTTTATTTTTAGTTAGAATACAAAGCAAGCAACACATTTCTTATTGCTCCAACGCATACTAAAGTCTTTTCGTATTATAAGTAAAGTTGATATAGCATACACCATGAAATAATGTAACAGAATTATAAATTGAAAAGGTGGAAAACTTACATAAAGATACGTCTAAGAACGCCTTTATTGCTTTTTGCTAATTTGTTTTAAACTTTGTTCAGTATGAAAATGTCCTAAAGTTCTACTCCAGTGCTTTTCAGCCAACATAGACGTTGAAATAACTCTGTTATTAATATTTCTGATTCCCTAGTTCTTCCCACTAAGTCCGGAGAATTTACCTTAGAACTCACCTATTTCATGTTGGATGAATTCATCGGGGATGTAAATACAAGCTGCTAAAAATAATGAAGTGTATCCCTTCATTTTCTAGTTCGTAAGTTTTCATTCAACCACTCAGCATACAAGCGATATTTGATTGAAGTTCCGTTCTTTCAAACTTAATTCTGTACTTACATCAACTTAATCGCGAGTTGTTAACAGTTCTTTGGAAATGAGAAGAGTCGATCATGTTAGTTCTCCACACCAGTTGGGTATAGTTAAGTGAATAATTACACTTGAGTGTTGTATGTAGGTTTCGAAGAAAGCAAGTTTTACTTAGAGAAGCTTATTGTTTGATTAGACATGGGGTCTGAACAGAGAAGGCTGCAACACGTACTTAGGATCCCGATTTTGAGAAAACTGGGATAACTTTTTGAATATATTTTAAATCGTAAAATGTAGAATTGTGTTGGTCTTAGAACGCTTGGACATTCTTTAAACTACTTTCTAGGTGACCATACTACATAGTTCCCAAATTTTAGAACTGGGAATCTATCTCACCGAAATCCTAACATATTGCTACTAATATATAAAATGAACATCGGGGTAAATTTTCAGTCGTAAAAGTAGTTTAGTGTTAATCATTTTCCTCACCCAATTAATAATGGTTATCTATCTCAATTCAGTTAGTTTCATCTCTGTATTAAATACATAGTTTCAATCTTGACAGTAGACTACATTTTCTTTTCTTACTCAAACAACTTATAATCAGCTTAGTGTTCAAGCGCATAAATCATTACAAAATAAATAATACTTTTTTCTTGTATCAATCGCTTTTTAAAGTCATCTTATTTCTTTAATACTGTGTTGATACCTTTTCGTCAACTGACATAATTTAAGCTTGACTTGTCTACTCTTTTCCGCATACCATCGACTTTATATTCTATTACCATCTAACAAACAAAAGGTTTAAGTAGCGATATCTACTTGTTTTTGATCTACACAGTGCATTCTTACACATTTCTATTATGTTCTGTGTATGTATCTCTATTATGTGTATATTTTGTTAAGTCTTCACAAATTGTCCTTAAAGTAAACTTGAGGTTATTTTTTACAGTTACCGTAACTGGATTACATGATTGAGAGTATACTTATTTCGGAAATCAATTAGTTTTTGTATGTCATATAAAGTGATCAAATGTAAACTTTGATCGATCAAAATTTCTCTTTTCAATTATTTTTTTAGTTAGAACATAAATTCACATTACTTTGACATTTTCTAAATTATTTTTCTGTTCGATTTTGTCATTGCAAATTTACTTATTTTTTTGGCATTCTTTTTTTCCGTTTTAGTCTCGTTTCATTGAAAAATCTATTTTTAAATGATCGATCTAAATGTTTTACTGACTATTGATTTGTTTGATGATAGAGAATTATGAGATTAGGACTAGTAGTAGTAACCAACTCACGGCCGAAGCTGCTACCTTGACGCGGTGGTCGGGCTTGCCTATCGTGATGACCCAACCGAGCTATATTGGCTGGAACATATGTTCCTGTAGGTTCTACCATGCCGGGCAGGTCGATCGGAGAACGGTAAGACTAAAAGCAGCAACTCAAGGTCTGAGGGCAAAGTCGTACTGCTGACTGTAGAGAGGTGTGACAGCAGTAAGGTGTTTCCCTCGGACAACCAGCATCTGGAGCCATGCTGCGTTCCCTCAAGGAGGCGTGGGGTTAGAAAAGGTCGACCCTAAAAATGTCACACCTCACCTTACCTCACGGATTTCCGTCTCCGGCGCTAAGGCCCTTTGAAGAACGGAGCTAACACATTAAAAACCTTTCACGAAAAGGCCGTGCGCGACCGGCCTCAAGCAGTTGTCCCTTGGGCTCTGCGGTCACGCTCCCAGGTCGTTAAGACCAACACTAATCCAATTTTCTTTTCAGGTTCCTCAAGAAATACCCTTCCACGGTGTGGGCAGCCGGAAAGTGACACCAGCCCTCATACCCGCAACAGCGCACGAGACCAAGTTGGTCAGATTCAAATCCTTCCTACACCTCCTAATACCTCTCTTATCTCCATGACCAACCCTCCTCACGTCTCTTTATCACCTCGCACCGCTAGGGCAAACGATTCGAGTACGCGGAACGCTATTCCTGGTCTCCTGAAACCACGCTCTAAACTACACGTAGGAGCTTTTAACGTCCGAACTTTGTGCCAAATAGGACAGCAGGCTTCCTTAGCTGAGACTTTGGGATCTCGCGCCATCGATGTGTGCTGCGTCTCCGAAACGCGCATACAGGATCTGAGTAGCGTCATTCACTTGACCTCACCATGCCAAAATAAAGAACCGACTCGATTCACACTTCATGTATCTGGAAGCCCTGACTCTGCTTCCCGTGGCCTCGCCGGCGTAGGTATAGCATTGAGTTCTAGGGCAGAACTAGCTCTCTTAGAGTGGATCCCAGTAGACAGTCGTTTGTGCTCTGTCCGACTAAACAGAACAATAAGGATCCGAAAAGATAGGGCCACTCGTCGTTGCCTCTTCGTCGTCTCTGCCTATTCTCTCACTGACTGCAGCGCAGATGATGTAAAAGATGAGTTTTACAAAAAGCTCTCCGACCTTCTCCGAAAAGCTAGGCGCTCTGATGTAGTAATAATGGCCGGTGACTTTAATGCTCAAGTAGGTAAACTAAGCGATAGGGAAAGACACCTGGGTGGGTCTTATAGCATCGTGGCTCAAAGAACAGATAATGGCGACCGTCTGTTGCAGCTATGCTCAGATAACTACCTGTTCCTTGCAAATACTAACTTTAAGCATAAGGAAAAACATCTTTTAGCATGGCGACCCCCTAATTCGTCCCAACGTAGGACCCAAATAGATCACATCGCTATCAGCCACCGATGGAGGGGCTCGATAGAAGACTGTCGCTCATTCTGGAGCACATGCATAGATTCAGATCATGCTCTAGTACGAGCGCGTATCTGTCTGCATCTTACTGGACGTAAGAAAGACTCTGCAAGGAAACCTCTTAGGGTCTTACTTAATGATAGTCAAGCTAAGTGTATATTTCAGGAGCAACTAGGAAAACAGTTAGGCAGCCATGTGTGTGATGCCCACCCCGATGCAGCATGGAATGATATCCGAAAAGCTGTGGAAACAGCAGTGATATCTACTAGTAAGGTAAACCAGAAGGTTAGGGAGCAACACTGGATCTCAGCAGCATCTATCGCACTGATAGATGCTCGTAAACTCATTCCACCTGGCTCTGAACATAATGAAGAGCGGAGTCAGCTTAAGCGCAAGCTGACAAGAAGTCTACGCAATGATCGCGAACAGTGGTGGGTAGCGAAAGCAAGAGAGATGGCAAAGGCAGCGGCAATAGGTAATAGCAGACAATTGTTCAGACTTGTTAAGGAAACCGGAATTAGGAACCCGACCGTTAACGAAACAATCTCAGAGAACGATGGACATATTATACATTCCCAATCCAGGAAATTGGATCGATGGGCAGAACACTTTAGGGATCAGTTCAACTGGCCTTCAGCCACACTTCGGTTTCCCACGATCTCCAGTCAACCTGAATGGCAAGTTAGTGTAGGTCCTCCGTCCCTTTACGAAGTTGAAAAAGCCATAGGAAATCTGAAACGAGGGAGAGCAGCAGGCCCTGACAGGTTTACTCCTGAGATTTTTAAGGATGGTGATTCAGTATTAGCAGTGGGATTAGCTGAAGTCTTAGGTAGGATTTGGGAACTGGACGTAATCTCATCTGACTGGTCTCAATCACTGATTGTGCCAGTCTATAAGAAAGGACAAAAGTCCTCTTGTGACAATCACAGAGGAATCAGTTTGACTAATATAGTGTCTAAAATATTAGCTTCAATAATACTTCGACGCCTAACCAAAGGTCGTGAAGAGCAGATTAGAGAAAACCAGGCCGGTTTTCGACCTGGACGTGGTTGTATAGATCAGATATTCACACTACGTCAGGTTCTAGAACACAGACACACATTCAGACGCCCCACAATGGTAGTATTTCTCGACCTTAAGGCGGCATTTGACTCTGTTGATCGTGAGGTTCTATGGCAGTGTTTGTCACTGAAAGGAGTATCAAAGAAGTACATTAACCTTTTAAAGGCTCTCTACTCGAACACAACTGGTCGAGTGAGAGCTTATGGTGAACTGTCATCAGAATTGATTACCTCAAGTGGTGTTCGTCAGGGCTGTCCACTCTCCCCATTCTTGTTCAACTTTGTGGTCGACGTACTTTTAGAGATAACACTCTCCTCATCTAAATTTCCAGGGGTTGAACTTCTACCGGGAGGTTCACTTGTTGACTTAGAATATGCAGATGACATAGTTCTGTTTGGTGAAGACGCTGACAAAATGCAGAGTCTTCTGACCACTCTAAGCAAAAACGCAAGCATGTTCGGCATGCGATTCTCTCCCTGGAAATGCAAAATGTTGCTTCAGGATTGGGTTGCATTGACACCCGAACTAATGATAGGGAGTGAAGTAATTGAGCGTGTCGATCTCTTCACTTATCTTGGAAGTCTCATCAGCCCTTGTGATCTGGTGTGTGACGAAATCTCAGCACGGATACAGAAGGCTCGACTAGCTTTTGCCAACTTGCGTCATTTATGGCGTAGGCAAGATATCCATCTATCAACCAAAGGACGGGTTTACTGCGCAGCAGTTCGTTCCGGTAAGAGTAGAGGATATTTGTAAGTTACTAGTATTCGATCATAGGTGTCTTCGAAATATTGCTCGTATATCCTGGGACTATCGAGTAAGTAACGCAGTAGTTAGGAAACGGATACTAGGTAAGGATGGCAAACCAATTGATGAAGTAGTGAAACTTCATCAGTTGAGATGGCTGGGACACGTGTTACGTATGCCCAACGACCGACTACCTCGACGTGCTATGTTCAGTGGTATAGGAGTAGTTTGGAAGAAAGCTAGAGGCGGCCAGACCAAAACATGGCACAAGTTCATGAAATCACTGACAAGTGGACTGAGTCATGTTGGTAGGTGTAGACTACCTGGTTGGGGACCGCGAGATGATAGCAACCGATGGTTAGAGACCCTGAATGACGTGGGTCAAAATCGTTTGCAATGGCGCAGGTGCATCCACTCTTTGTGTTCTCCCAAATTTTGATCTCCTTATTCCTCCTTCTCTCTTTTTTTCTCTTCCCAAATTTATTTCACTGTATTATACTCTTTAAATAACTTCTCCAAACATTAATTTTCCTGATTACTGTTTATACTCTTATTACCTTTACCACTACAGGATTTGAATCGACAATAGTATCTCTGTGCTAATGTAGTGTGGCAAGTCGAACTGACGTACGTACGTACGAAGTTCTACGCTGTTACTGGCTGACTAAACCAACTCACTAATTGAGTCTATTTCATCGAAAACAATGTACTTCCATATCTTATAAGCCTTAGATCATTCACTTATCGACTGATTTTATTATCTACAGAACGATGATAAACCAATCAATGGTAGGATTGTAGACGGCAGATATTGACGAGTTTTTATTAATCTAGTTGCCTAAACCACCATAATTGGGGTAGGTATCTAACCTATGATTCTGCTGTGCTAAGTTGATTGCTTAAACCTTCAAGTTAAGCCTGTGTATATTCAAAGGCTGCATAGTATATATATATATATATATATATATATATATATATATATATAGTCTCCTAGTTAAATGACAGCTTTTGGCCTGTTTTAAAATTCAACTGAGCTCCATTTAAATATTTCTTTTCTCTATCAGATTCCTCGTTATCTTTTATCTCTCTTTTTCTATTTAAACAGACGCAAACTTTTATTTCGAAAATTGCACGGGTAAGTAAATGCTTTTTCTTTAGTATATCCATGTTGATTGTGTACGTGTGTGTATTTTTTTCATTTTATTAGTGCTTACGTGATTGCAATAACTGTACGATATTGTCTTAGTTATAAAATATTTCAATGAAAATATCACTACATTAAGTGTACATTTTTACTCTTCCTGAACCTTATTTCATGTGATTTGTGATTCAGTTCGTTTTCTGTTTAGCTTTTTTCACTTTGCATGAATTATACTTCAACATCTTGACGTCTCGTATACTATTGTGTCGTTAATATATATATGGTCAGTCAGCTGCAACATAGGACCAGGCACATATATGCATCGGTCCAAGTTGCCACACCTCATTATCACAAAAAGATGAACACCGAATTCATAAAAGTAGTTAATTCAGAGGTGGTAATATATAAAAGAAAGATTGCATACAAGGATATAGTACAGGAAGAAAGAATTAGTTCGTACAAAGAAAGATATGAAGCGATTTTAACCTCGTATTTTAAGGGAAGACAGGGAGTGTATACACCTACGCTATTGTGATCGATTCTGAGCCATGTCACCAAGAGTCTCCAACCATCGGTTAAAATAATCACGCGGACCCCAACCAAGTAGTCTACATCTACCAACATGACTAAGACTAGAAGTTAGTGACTTCAATCACTGATGCCACGTTTTGGTTTGGCCGCCCCTAACTTTCTTCCAGCCATCTCCAACACCGGTTAACATTGCACGTCGTGGTAATCGGTGTTTGGGCATATGTAACACGTGGCCCAACCATCTCACTTGATGAAGATTCACAACTTCATCAACTGATTTACCAACATTCTTTAACACCCTGTGTCTAGCCTCACTATTACTTACCCGGTGATCCCAGCATATGCGAGCAATATTTCTAAGGCATCTGTGGTCGAATACTAGTAGCTTACGAGTATCTTCTACTCTTAATATATATATATATATATATATATATATATATATATATTGATGTGTACTACTACTATTTTTGTAATCAGCTGAACTTGCATGCATATACATCTATTAATATTGTAGAAAATGAACATTTTGATGTAAGACAGCACAAATAAATTTCAAGTTTTCTCTCTGTAAAAGAATAACCAGATATTTTTTTCATGATAATATCTCCTTATTTCCCTTCTTTTCGTTGCTAGTTGAAATACGAAATGTATGCGTAAAAATGTAGTGAATGATAGGTAATCTATTCTCATATAAATAAAAATAATTTGTGTTGAAATGAAATATAGGTGGTGATGACTAAATGTACTTTAACTGTTACTACTGCTACTACAGTGTGGTGATAGTTATTGATTTATTCAGTCTGCGACCAATCAAGCCAGCAGGATAAGGTTAAACTTAATTCTTTTAGATGCGTTACTTGGGTGTGTAACGTAGAATGGCTTTTAATTTTGCTTCTCAGTAGATTGCTTTATAACTCGTTTATGTGACTAAATAGCATTAGGTCGAACTGTTCAAAAGTCTTCCATCTATCATGTAATTCCATTTGATCTAAAAACCCAGTACAAATAATCACAACATATTTACACGGTAACAAACTTATTTTACTTACAATCCTAGATTTATATTATACATTTTTTGTTAAATATAGTATTTTTAGTTGTTGAATTCATGAGTTAATGTAAGCTAGACCACCATTGAAAACCTGGAAGCACTGGATGACCGTTTCGTCCTAGTATGGGACTCCTGTTGGGTAGAGACAGATATCTACCTCAGACAATGGATGAACAGTTTCTGAAGAGCATGGGTCGATTGAAGTTAGACACTAATACCGATGGATGACGGCTCAGTGGTCTAGAGATGAAGCGTTCACGCGCCAGAACAAAGGTCCTGAGTTCGAGTCCCGGGTTCGAGACCGTGGATGTTCACTGTTGAGGAGTTCCATACTAGGACGAGATGGCTGTCAAGTACTTCCAGGCTTTCAATGGTGGTCTAGCTTACATCGAATCATGAACTCTCCACAAACCCCTATTGTGATCAAAATATAGTATTTGTCTCCTATTTATCTGTTTTTACTGGTTATATGTACATAAAACAGGAAATTTCAAACTTATTTGTCGTGATTCCCTTTATCTCACTGAAACATTTTTTTCATGCATATTTGTATATATGTATGTAGTCATTTTACGATTTTTTTGGCTGTTGTCAATATAAAAGCATATTTTATCTATCAGTAGTGGTCGTCCAATCGATCTGTCTGGCAAAAATGAATGACTCATTTTTGAAAAAAAGAAAACAGAAAACTGTTTCTTCTATTTTATTTCCTTTATTACTATTGTTGATTGAATGTACTTTGTCTTTGTCCTTGCCTCTCCATTCCCTTTCCTCCTCCTCCTTTCCCTCTCTCTTGCTTATTTGGTTACTTCTTTTGCTATCAAACTTTGATATCAAATATTCATTGTCGTCTTTTTGTTAGTTAGTTTTGGTTCCTCTATGTGTGATCCATAAGAATGAATTCTACCTGTTCCATGAAATATAATCAAGTTGAACAGTAAATAGGGGATAGGAATCATTCTGCAATTTACTATATTTAATAAAGGGAAAAAAGAATTAATCGATTAGTAGTAATAATGATAATGATGGGAGTAGTTGTCATTAGTGACTCATTAATTCACCTGTAGCCTCAATGATCAGTTGAATATTTGTTGTTTTGTTAAACAAGGATAAAATAAGGGACAATTCAGGTAAACTTGTATTATTTTTTTGAGAATTTTTAATTTCCTGTTGTTGATATTCAGGACTGTAATTGAGCAATCTCTATTGCCATATATACATACATCCTAAATGGATCGTCTCTACATAGCTTGTGTTCGTTGTTTCAGCTCGCTTTTAGAGAAGTCATCCTGTTTTCGTATAACGAGAAGAAGGAAAAGATTATTGGGCAAGACTATAATTTGTAGATGACCCTTGAGCGACGCCAAAGTAGGGTTTAAAAAGGTTAGAAATTGTGCTGATAAATTAGAGTTGAAGTTTTCATTACAAACTGAGATCAGCTATAATGCGAAAATCCTATTTGGCCATATAGATGAATGAATTTCGCGCCAAGATCTAAGACTTTTGGTGGAGTTTTGTTCTCTGAGCTGGATGGTTTGGTCGTGGAGTTTTCATCGTTCTTCTGAACGACATCATCAGCACAAACTTCAGATAGGAGTGAAGTGTTCGAATTTCTCCATATGTGTTTCACAGCTTGTTCTGCGCACCTCGATGTTGATTGGTTCTTATTGACCTTAAATTTATCATTGTTTACTTCTTTGTTTTGGTTGTGTCTCCCATTGGTTTGATTTTTGTTCCTATATTTATGCATGATTTTCTTGATTGGTTGATAAATTGGATTGATTTCAATATGTTTGTTGATTGCTGATTGACCTGAGTGCCATGCTTCTAAAAATTCTCTGGTGTTTTTGGAGTTTCCTCTGTCTAAGATTCCTACATTTTTCCAATCGAATGAGTGTCCGTAGTTATCCACGTGTATTGATATAAGTGAAGAGATATCATGGCGTTCGACTGCTAATTGATGTTCATGTAGGCGTAGGTGGAGGGGGCGTCCGCTTTGTCCGATGTAGTGTTTGTCGCAGTTGGTACAATTTATTTTGTAGATGATGTTTGATTTGTTTTCTTTTGTTATTTCATCCTTTGGTTTGCATAGGATTGATTGTAGTGATTTTGTTGGTTTGTGTGCCACACCTATCCCGAAGGTTTTCAGCAGTCTCGTTGCGGTTTCTGATATTCCTTGTATGTACGGTAGGGTGATCCTTTTGCTGATTTTTGTGCTTGACTTGGGTTCTGATGCTGTGTGCCGTTGGTGCTTTTTGATGAAGTTGATTGGGTAGCCGTTTTTTTGAAATATGTCCTTCAGGTATTTCTCTTCATTTTTTCGTGCTGCCGGTGTGCTGCAGTGTGTCCTCGGCCTCTTGAACAATGTGTGTACGCAGTTGATTTTGTGAGCTCTTGGATTGTTGCTGTTGTAGTTGAGAATTCGATCTGCATGGGTCGGTTTCCTATATACTTGAGTTTCCAGTTTTCCTGTGTCAGTTCTAGTGATCAATATATCCAAGAATGCTAGTTGGTTGTTTGACTCCTGTTCCATTGTGAACTTGATGTCATTGAAAACGTTGTTGATCAGTTTGTATGTGTTTTCCAGTTCATTCTTTTTGACGATGAAGAAGGTGTCGTCTACGTAGCGAATCCAAATTTTTGGCTTGATCACTGGTAATATAATGGCTTCTAGTCTTTGCATCACTGCCTCTGCGATCAGTCCTGATATTGGTGATCCCATTGGTGTCCCTTTCGTTTGTTCGTAGATTTTGTTGTTGAATTGAAAATATGTTTTTAGGCATAAATCGATGAGTTCCAGTAGACTTTGAATTTTAAGCTTCGTGTATTTATTGAGATTTGTGTCGTTGTTGAGCAGCAGGGATATAGTTTCTTTTGCTAACTGTGGTTCAGTTGAGGTGAACAGTGCTGTTACGTCTAAGTATATCATGAGTTCGTGAAGTTCTGAAGTTTGTGCTGACAATGTCGTTCAGAAGAACGATGAGAGCTCCACGACCAAACCATCCAGCTCAGAGAACAAAACTCCACCAAAATCATCCACCTCAGCTACAAATCTTCTTCACCATCTCAAGATCTAAGACTCTCTAACTCAGATCTAATTAGTTCGTTCACATGTTATAGTATTGCCGATTATTGGCGTGTATTAGGGCCTGTGTCATCAGTCTGTTTATTATGGCAGCAGTTTTATTTTCGTGTCTGACTCACAACTCATACCTGATCTCACTTCAGCACAAATAGAACGTTACTATATATACACAACTCAATTATAAACGAGATGAAAATAAAGCAATAAGAAGTAATGAATAATAAATCTGTAGGAGTTAAAACATTATAATGGTTTATAGATCAAACGAAAACTTATAAATAGGAGAATATAAAAATACAAGAATCCAAGTGTTTGATATCTGTACAATAAAACGGTAAGTAATGATTCCCAATTGGATAAGTATGAAAGTCCGACTTCGCTTAAATCCTCTTCGATATGACTGACACGTTATATGGTTTTTAAGATATTGATTTAAATTCTTGAATGAGGAAAGGATTTTTGAAGTGTTGAGTTTCCTAAGCAGGTTGTTTAAATTGTAAAGTTATTAAAGACTTCAAAAATCATTGTCGATACAATCTAGATAGGTGGTGAGTGCTTCGGGATCTATGTCATCCTGTTAGAAAAACCAATGCGATATGTTGTTTAAGTAAATTTTGTATTTTATGTCTTCACTGTCTAGGTAATTTACATGATGTATTAATAATATCCTTTGTTTTCTATCTTCCAGCACTGACAGTACTGTGTTAATTCAAGGGTCTAGTTTCCATTCTTTACGCATTAGCAGGGTTAAAGATGTTATTCCTGATTCACATGATAGCTGTCGATATCCTTCAGCACTACCTCTTTCCTTACAAAATCACGAGAGTCCAAATACTCAAAGAATATCACCGTGGCAGCGAAATACTTTCAATAGCGAATCCATTCGATCAATATCCGGTACAACTCATAGCAGTCTTCATAATTTACCTTCTAGTGCATTGAACAATGTTAATTCTTCAATGTTTAACCAATCAGCATTACCTAATTCAGGTTATTCAACAATTGCATCTGTTCATGGCAAATCATGTTCACCAGAATCACATATTGATACTACTGATATGATAAAATCAAATCATGTTACAACTACTAGAAATTCCGGTGGTTATGCTAGTCTTAGTACGACATCTTGTACAGATAGTTCTAGTACAAATCATTTTCAAAACGAAATTCAAATTCACGAAGCATCATCCACAGATTCATGTACTTCCATTTTAATATCATCATCTATTGGATCGTCATCATCACCAATTTTACATCGAATTACACGAAATATTGACGTGTTTTCTAACCAAACAAGTGGTGATATTCTAACAGAATACGATAATGATGATCCCAGAGCTACACTTGTCCCATCGATTGATTTAGATCCAGAGAAATTATATACAAATTATTGCTTACAAGAAGGGACATCAGTTAATTGTGATCAAATACGTCGTGATATTGATCGCCAATTTCCTTTCCATGAATTATTCAGTGAAAAGGGAGGTCATGGGTCAGTTCAACAGTCATTATCAGTCTGTCTGTCTGTATTTATTCTCTTTTTGTGTTTTTAATAGGCAAATAAATAAAGCTAAGTAAATTGCATAAACACATGCTCGTGTACCAGAGCTGATGAACTGCACGTACTTTTAAAGTAGTACTCACATGAATTGGTTTCAGCGGACACGACTTATTTGTTATGATTAACGATTTACCACAAAAATAACTCACTTTAAATAGAATACAACCAATTCCAATTTTATTTTCATGCAATATTTTGTTTTTTCTCATTTTCATTCATACTAAGTCGATCAGCTTTCTTTCAAGTCTTCTTGATTAAATGATAATTCCTGCCTCAACTTCGATGACTAAATTTTTCTATCTTAGTATCATCATTCTATAACACTAGCATGTGTATAGACGATTGGATTAATTATTCTGTTCTATTTCCTTCCTCAACTTCCTAACCTTCTCTTAACACATTTCAATAATCCAACATACACTTATTATTGTTATTATTATTATTATTACTAAATGTTGTTAATTTCATTAGAAATAATCGTTAACGGACAGTAAAGTGCAAGGCGGTTCAAATATTGCTAAGAACATAAAACAATGGTAACATACCAGTAAATATTTACAACTAAGTGCGCGTACTGTATTCACGGGTATACATATATATCCTCATTGTTTGATTGTCTTAGCAGAAATGATTTGCCGCCATTCTATTATGTATATCTAATTTTCTCGACAAAACACACTCAAATGGTTATGGGCTATCATGTCGTGTAATACTCTCCATGTGTGAGTGATGTAGCCGGGTAGGTTGATACAATAATAACTAACGGATTGGACTGAACAACACGAATAAACAATATACTAGAACTACTCTTTCCTCTTGGTACATTTTAGTTTAAGGTTTTTTAGATTTCACTTAGCTCTATGTTTGAGAAGTGTTGTAATTTGGTTGAAATACTATTATAGATGTATTTTATAACAAACCTTAACTTAGAAAATGTTTGGGCAGTTTACTCTGATTGATCTAAAAACATAATAAACTATTCAATAATACTGTTCGAACTATGTCACCTTGTCATTCAAAACATTTAAATGTTGGCATTTAATAAAGCCACTTCCTTTCGGTTATTTGATTTCGATTTACTAGTCGGTGCTTAAGTAATGATAATCGTCAAAGCACTGTACCTAATAACTTTCAAAACAGAAATGTTAATTACTGGTTCGCAATTTAAATTAACAATAGTATTATCCTATGAGAAAGCTTTTTAATATGACATATATACACATAAGAGAACAGGGTAATTGTAATTCATGACTAATTTGTTTCAGTCTTTTATCATTAAAAAAATGAAAATCGGAACAGTTATTTGTATTATAGACTAACGATAGTTGGAGGGCCATTGAAAGTCAAGGTACATTAGACGAATATTTCATTCTAGTATGGGACTCAGGTTACACGGGAATCTTTAAAGCAGTGATTTAAAATAGATTGGTCCCCACTTTTAATTTTGGTCAGTTCACTGTATGGTATGATCGATACTCAGTATCAATGATATATTTAAATTTCACCACTCAGATCCTTCCACTAGAACTTCAGTAATTCATCTCCAAGTTATTTAATAATGAGGGCACAGTTATCGTTAAGTTGAATTGATTGTGTGGAGTGCCCTCTGGTTTTCAGTGATTACTGAGATATCATTTTGTCATGAAGAAAATACGTTGAACAAATTGCAACGGTTCACCCAATGAAAATTTAAATTTTTCTCCAATTATTCATTTTAACACTTACCTGCAATCGCCGCCTTTATGTCTCTTTTATGTCGTTTGCAACTAAATGCCACTATATTTTGAGGTCATGCTCTTCTGCGAATCACTTCAGATTGACATTTAAACAAACCACTATTGTCTTTATAACAACTATCGCATATTATTATAGGAGTAAATTGTAAATTATTCTTAGATATTATATTCAATATTGATGTCAAATATTCACATTGTTTCTGCATAGAGGCCTAAAATAACGTAAAAGATTGCTTCATTTGTTAAATGGTTGTCTACCACGAAATCTATATATATATATTTATTAATCCTGTATGCTTAAATTTGCATACGCTTAAGTTTTTTTATAATTTATCAGCCTTGTTGAAAACCATATATTTTTTATGATAAATAAATGACCTACCAACTTTTTTCTCTATTGATGTTTTTTCTACTGAGAAAAATGTTAAATAAACAAACGGAAAGATTTACGCGTATTCTTTGTGTTGCGGCAGAATTAAATTATATATATATATATATATATATATATATATATATATATATATGAAATGTAAATGGGCATTTTTTTTTGATTGATTGCAAGACCACCACTACTACTACTGATTCACACACATTGTCATAGAATAAAAACTTCGCGAAAATCATAATATTGATTTGTGCGGTAATTTAAACATATGAAAAATCACCGCGCACTGTGTTGTTATCATATACATACGTTAGTTCTAAATCAGTTTGTGCATTGTGATTTGGTTAATTTTTCATAAATTGGATCCAGTCATATTTGTATCGCCTGTAAGATAAACAGTGTCGAATTCTTCGAATTTGTCCGAATTTTGTAAATAAAGCAAGTGGTTAAGTATGCTGTGTTTGTAAACACAGTTATTAATGAATTTGTTAGCGTTTCGTGTTACTTATGCAATATAGTGTTTCGACCAAGGTCCTACAACAGTTTAGTATTTATTGTGTCTATAACTAATAATACAGTTTGAAAATAACATATAAAGATAATTATGTGATCTTTCTAGGAATAATTAGATGGTGTTCAAACAGTTTTTTAGTCAACCGGTTATACGAAGTTAGTACGACCTCCAGCAAAATGGTAATAAGCTTAGTAATAGCTAGCTAGATAATTATATATATATATATATATATATATATATATATACCATACAAAAACTTGCTGTCTTTCATTATTTTATTATTTTATTTTAGTCAAGAAAGTTTATACACCTTACTAAAAGCTTATACAATTAGACATCCGGAGAAAGGTTACTGTCAAGGTCAAGCCCCACTAGCAGCTGTCCTACTCATGTTTATGCCGGAAGTTGATGCCTTTTGGACTTTCAATGAAATTTGTGAACGTTATTTAGAATCTTATTATGATGATGGTCTTGTAAGTTATGGTTTTTGCAGTTTTGTTTAATTTTTTTGGTATTTCTGAGTGTACTGAATTCTATTAAATTGAAAAGCAATAAAAAGAAGATATTTGTGTTTCTGTATTGTTTTTACATCAGTTGAACATTAAAGTACAATCTTTTGGTTCTTTTCAAACAAATAATGTTTTATGATTCGTTAAAAGCCAAAATTAACACCATACGAAATAAAAGCTAATGATGAATCAAATATTTAGTGATTAAAGGGTTCGGCATTCGATAATAAAGTCTCACTATTTAGAGTTCAGGCGTTTATGTGTTTGACTGAAGGTTCTTGATTCAATTTCGGGTGTTGGGGTCCTAGACGCGCGCCGTTGTGGAGTCTGAGTCTAGGACAAAACCGTTTGGAGCTTCTTGGTTTTCAATGATGTTGCGCCTAAGATCAATTTATGGTTTATATCACACAGTGAAGTTTCAGATTCAAACCTCGTTCTATTTGATCCGGTTTGACCAGCCGCGTAATACCCCACCAATCTGTCTTAGGCACATAAAGTGTGACCTGAAGCCTGATTTATAAATCTGATCCTGGTCATTAAGTTTCATTGTGTAGAATATGGCTAATGATATTTGTGTAGTTACTGGTTTCTTCTTTGTTTCTCAATTAGGAACGAGTGCAAATTGACGGGGACGTCTTATATGCGCTTCTTAAGTCGATACATCCTCCAATATACAAATTTTTAGTAAGTTGTTTTCTGAAACATGTGTTGGATTTCTCTTAATAACCATTTTGCTGAATTCATTTAGTTTTTAAAAATAGTGAATTATCAAAAAATTTTACTTTTAGTGAATGCAATTTTTCACTACTTTTGGTAAATTCCGTACTTTGGTTCAGTCCTGTATGAGTGTATAATTATGTGTGAATACTGTCGTGAAGTTTCAATCTAAGACAAAGTAATTTCACAGAGCTCATTAGTTTAGTTAACATCAGCTTGTGACGAAAAATATCTTTCTTCAAATTATATTTTTATTCACACACAATCGGTTGCTTTCTTGACTGACACAGAAGTTTTTGTTATTGAAGGCCGGACATTGAGTGTTCATGGAAGCCCTTCATGACAAAAAATGTTAATAACATTTATAAAATTACCTCCTCCGTCTGATCCGCTGTGACGAACCGCTAGATGTTATACGGCCATGTCTCCAGCACACAAATTTAATGTACGAGTTTTCATTTCTGCACAAATGCGAATCTCGAACTACATAATGACAGTAAGTTGGTCTTTCATAATTTGTGATAGCGGACTTCAACGCTTCAACCGATGGGAACGCAACGAGAAACAAGGTTGTCAAAAAGACTTCCTCCATTTCTGTTACGTGAGAAACAACAGCGTTTGCACTAGGCACGTTACTCTCCTCCATAATGATGATTAAAATGTACTTCGTCGACAAGTACTGATGTTTTGTAACAATCCGACAAAACATAACTAACAAATTAAAAACGAACTTTAAAACTAGCCATTTCATTGGACGAAACGGGATGAAAAATATTGCAATTTTGGGTTGAAAAAACATTTTTAAAAAGGGTGGGTGGGGGGTTTTTAAAAAAAATTGCCGTGGGGCTAATGAATTTCGACCTTGTTTATCAATCAAAGTAGAATGACATAGTTATTCGCTAGATAAACAACATAATATTCACATGACTGGAAGGAAAAAGTTTAAAAGTAAACATTGCAAAACAAAACAGAAAAGGATTTACGCATCAACTTATTCAGCAGAATGAGCTAAACTTTAGTTGTATATTGCATCAAATGTTCTATGAATTTACTGTTTGTCTGGAATTGAAAAACATTTGTAGCAATCATACGATCAGTGAGTAGACGATCGCAAATCGTCAGAAAAATCGTGCATTCAGTTTCTTCATTACTGGAGGTTGATCGTTTTCGGTTGCGAAAATTATGTGCTTTTTTGCGATTTACTAAATTATCTTCTACTGTGGTTGTTTCGTATTCCCTAGGAAAAATGGAGGATGAATTAATTTTCTTTTTAGTTACCGAATAAATCTTGCTTTGTCTAGTATTATTACAATTACCATTGGTGCTACTACCAAGTCATCATTTCATTTTTAGTGTAGCGAAATACATAGTTGCTTAAAAACAGGAACTGGACTTAATATAGATAATCACCAAGAGAATACATATCGTTTTAATTAGTATACATTAATGTTTACGTCATCATCTACTAAATTCACTTTTATTAGTATATTTTCTTAATTAACAGACCATATTATGTGCGTGTGTGTTTCCTTTGTAGTCATCCTAACTATCAGCTGATACATCTTTATGCACGTTAGAGGTGGATCAGGATGAAAATTTCTGAATGGTTTAGTTCTTTACTACTGATAATCATTTCAGGGAGATAACTATTTAAACTGTAGACTCCATTAATTGTTACTACGTTTTTCTCATTCTTTAAAGCTGAATACCGATGATAATAATAATGATAATAATAGATGCTACTATTAATAATAACTCTATTTACTCCTCTATGTTTGGTTAAAGAGAACAATTCTCTGCACAAAATATGCTTTTTGTAAATTGTTCCTGTTCTATTTAAAATTTATATATGTGTGATTCACTGACTGACTATCATTCATTTCGATACGTAGGCGTTTACTACTAACTTTGCTTTCACAACAATCTTTCCCATTGCATAATTTTATTGAGGTATAATTTCCAATCTAGCTTCATTTACCAACGATTTCTCTGACAGTAATCAGCTTCGTCATTTGTTGTAAACCTCTTGTTAAAATCAAAAACGTGTCTGTAGATTAGGTGGCTATCAACTGAAACGAATTAATACACAAACGTGTATTGAAAGATTTGCATATTTAAAAAAATAGTGAACTCAAAAGTTTATAGCATGCCTCTACTATTGCCACACGTTTAAGTTCATGGATGACAATACCAGTCGCTCCAAAGTCATTTAGACTCTTCCATCCTTATTGTAAGATTTATAGTTTTAAATTACTACTCTATACTTACATTCGGTTATTATACATTTGTTATGACTTTTGCTCTGTTAATCATCACGTGACCAAACCGCCAATTAGAACACGACTTATAGGACCTTGGCAATGTGCCAAATCAATGACGCGTTAACCATTACGAGCAGCCTGGAGTCAACTCGGAATCCTTATTGGCCTAGCCCTGCCCATTGAGTCCAAAACATAACCTCAGCTTCCATTGTACGAACCGTATATTTCAGACATACTTGATGTACATAGAAGCAAATTAGACTATATCACACCATAGAATGAAAAATAATAATTATGCAAGATCAAGCTCCCAAATGCCCTGGTACGGCCGAGGGTGGAAAGAGTTTGATTTCCCCCTCGAAATGCTCTCACATGTCCATGCGTATGCACTCACTGCCAGAGAAGTCCTACTCACTACCTTCTCGCTGTGGGGCGTTGTTTACGAAATTGATAGGACAAAAGGCGAATGTCCGGCGCTTTAACTGGGTTGGTGGATATAGAGGATCCACCTACGGAAGTTGGAAAATCCTGATTCCAAACCAATGGTGTACATGGGCTCCAGCATCCTAAGGGAACAAATGGCGTATGAACAAATTGTTGGTCACCGGCTACCATGGGACTGCATCTCCTTACGTTGCTTCACTGCCCTGTGGATTAGACCTTTAAGTCGAAGGCTCCGGGTGTGGCCCCCTAAGAAAACCACCTACTTCGGTTTGGGCACCTGGGCAGTATCACAGCCCATACACAAATAAAATGAAATGACAATTATTACTGAAAATACTGTTCTCGCTCCAATTAAAGTTCAGACAACTCACATTCATTTTTATTTTTTTATATACAATGTCACTTATCTACTCTCTTTTATTCTCACTTTGTGTATCCTTGTTTTTTAATTTATATAGCAACTCGCCTATGGTGGAAACCCCGTTCTATCTAAACGACCTTGAGTTACCGACTAGTCGGATGTTGAATGCTACCACCGCATAAGAATACTGTAACAATCTTTCCGAAACTACGTACACCATTCAAACTGGATTCCTTCAGCGTTCGCATACTAGTGCAGATCGGACAACATATAGGGTTGGCTATGTCTTTAGAAAGTCTTAGTATCGACTTCTGTTGTCTATCCTAAACCAGTAATCAAGACTCTAGTTAAGTACTACAAATTTACTCTCCATCTGTCTTTTCGAAAAGCTTGTTTTACGTGCGTTTATCCGGAAGCACTATGGCATCTTCGTCTGGTTGTCCTGGTATTAGTGTCGCACTAAGCGCTAGAGCTGAGGCAGCACTGATCTATTGGATCCTTATTAACAGTCGGTTATGTGCTGTTAGATTACAGAGTCTCATCAAAATACGAAGAAATCGGTGTGAGAAACTATGTCATTTTGTCATCTCCACCTACGCTCCAACAGATTACAGCCCAGGTGCAATCAAGAATGAGTTTTACCATCAACTAACTGTCCTTCTACAGAAAGTGCGTACGACAGATATTGTGGTACTAGCCAGAGACTTTAATGCTCAGATTGAGAGTCTAGTCACAGAATTCAGTCATTTAGGTGGTCGATGAGGACTTGTTGGTCGCAGATCAGATAACGGTGACCATCTACTGCAATTGTGTGCAGACTATAAGCTGTTTCTGGCTAGCACTGACTGCCGGCACAGTCATCACCGCTGTGCTACCTGGCGTCCTCCCTCTTCTTCCCGAACCCGGACTGAGATTGATCATATCGCTATCAGCTACCTCTGGCGTAGTTGTGTATAGGACTGCTTTTCCTTTTGGACTACCTATCTAGACTCTAATGATGCTCGTGTCTGCACTAGTCTTATCTTACGTTTCAGTGGCTAACAAATTCATCGTGCTAAATTAATCGATGTCAGCAAATTGGTTGCAGCTTCTGTTGAAACTAAATATCAAAACGAGCTAGGTTCAGGGCTAGCTATCCATCCCACCAAAAAGTATAGATGAGTATTGGTTACAATTGCATGACGCCATGAAAATGGAGAGTAGAGTCTCTTTCGGCCTCGCGAAACGTCCCGCTTATAGGTACTGGGTTTCTACAGGCTCCTTACAACTCATTGAAGCCTGGCGGTCTACTCCGGGTGGCCGTTAGTTTGACCACAAACAAAGGATATTACGTAATGAACTTGGACAAAGCTTACGTGAAGACCAAGAAGCCTGGTGGTGGGAGCGTGTCAATGAGTTGGAAGCAGCAGCTAGTGTGAGTGGAACAATCTGTGAAGGTGATAGGATGCCAATCACTAACATCTATCGACATCTTGGATGGTGGGCAGAGTTTTTCGAGGAGCAATTCAAGTGGTCTGATGCTCCGGCAACATCGGTCAGGCTGTCCTGCCCTCTGTGGCCTGTGACGACTGATCCACCAAATGAGGCGGAAATCCTCAAGGATCTCCAACTCTTGAAGCGCTACAAATCACCTGGCCCAGATGACTTACCTCCGACCCTTTTTAAAGATGATGGTGACTTTCTGGTTAAGGAACTGACTGAGTTGTTTACAAACGTTTAGCAGTTAGAGAGTGTTCCAATATCATAGAATGAGTCGATAGTTGTCCCTATCTTTGAAAAGGGTTCACGTCATTTCTGTAACAACTATAAGGGAATAAGTCTTCTTCCGATTGCGTCCAAACTATTGGCTTCTGTCATACTTCAAATCCTGCTCTACTTAGTCTGGCTTGAGCAGCTGGGTAATATAACTAAGCCTCACACTAAAGATGTAGCTCCAAGTTAAGTACATAAATATATACCTGGTAAATGAGCTAATAATGATATCTGCAGTATATTCTAACTTTTTCTTACCATTGTTATCTGTTAGCGGGATATAGATTGGATTAAGGGATGTTCCGTGCAAGATTTGGAAAAGACTTTAGAATCTGCTTGTGTAAAATTTATAAATATAGTAACGTATTGTTTTACTTCCATTCAACCTTTGTTCATTCGAAATATAATTACGTTCCTGTTCAAATGTATTCTGATTTGAGGGAATTATCAAGTGAAATGGTGTCCAAAGAATAGTAAGCGATAAGAGTAGCTGGGTTGTTATAAGAGAGATCATAACATCATCTTATATAAATTTTTTATCTATCTATCTGTATTGTTCCAAGTCGGTATTCATAAAATTTATTTCCAAACAATTTTTGTAGCGAAAATATTCAGTGGAACCAAATCTTGTCGTTTTGGAATGGTTCATGTGCGCTTACACACGAACTTTACCTTGGACAGCTGTATTAAGAATATGGGACTTGTTCTTCTGTGATGGTATGCTAAATATTATATATTTTTTAATAATATTCCATATCTTCATATGTATATGGTTTATTTATTCATCATAGAACTTGACATGTGATTTACTGTGAAATGGATACGAATTCATTTTATTTATAAGTGGTTATAAATTTTACTGCAGACTCTACTAGACTATTCAAATGGTGTATTTAAAATCATTTAATATTTCTAAAAGCTTTTACAGTTATTATGAAATATATACATAATGTTTATGTAACTCATCTATCAAATATGAGCTTTGAGCTACACTTATAAAATCATTTTCTAGCGAATACCTTCAGGTAACCATTCAAATTTGAGATTGCTCTTGCAAAACGTTTAGCGAAAATTAAAAGTTCAGTTAAGAATAGTATGTTAAAAAAAACTGGTTATGATTAGTTTCTAAAGTTTTTGTGTAACCACACGGTGGATTTAACGTAGTGTGCAATGTAAATGACCAGAAATGCGTGCTCCATATGCAGATTGTGTTTGAGCGTGCATGATGTGATTCAGGGCATATTCAGGAGTAGTTTTGTGATTATAAGGTATTCTCGAATGTTTACGGAATGTTCTAACCCTTATGTTTTTAAACACAACTTCCTAACCTTAACTCTTGACTGTAACCGGTCTTCTAATCCGTAATACTAATCTTTTTCCATTTATTTATCACCTTGGTACTATTAATCTATCATAATTTTAATGGTTCTTTAACCACAAATTGATTTGTCACCAAACCCTGTTTTTTGATTGGCTAATCAACCACTTAGGGTTGTCGTTATAATATTATATTATCACTACATTTTCTGTTTGTTTTTGGATCAGTGAGTGTGATTCTATTTATCTGCTAGGAAGTAAAGTTAGTAAGTCGGGTTTCAAATACACTGCTCTACAAATTGTATTACAGATAAAGATAAATAAATACTAAAAACTCTAAAATGATTATTGCTTATATAATTACCGAAAAGATGCTAATCTGTATTCCTTGTGAAATCATTAACTGTTTGTAAAATGGCTTAAGTTGTTCACAATTGACTTTTACGACATTTTTCCAAAAATGTACACTGAATGATTCGATGGCAACACAAAATATGAGTCTTAGCAGGATTCGAAATTCAGTTCTGTGGGTTATTGCTTCTAGTTTACCAATTAATTTTTTTAATTGACTAGTTTAAATGAAAAACTATTAGTATTGGCATTTTTTATTTATGTAAAATATGATCTGATCAATATTTTTCCAAAAGCTATCAACTATACTTTATTATTATTGTTATAATAATAATAATAATAATAATAATAATTATTATTATTATTATTATTATTATTTGTAAGCGTTTTCTCGTTGTTGGTATTCTAAACTAATTTTCAACAGTTTTTTTGGTGGTATAGGTTCTCTAAAAGTGATCAGTACTTTCTTCACTTACAGATAATTATAATTTGTATATTGACTAGCAGTGAGATCCATTACTCGGATTTCGTTCCATACAAACTATGGTTAATTTATGAATATCGACAGTATTTTAGTGCATTCCATCAAAATGTGTCTATACGTTAACAGAAAACGATCAAACTCATTCTCTATCATCGACGGCAACCTTTGCAGTTGTAATTAAGCTCATGGTTGTTGAACTGGTTATGAGATATTTTAATTCCTTTAGCTTAGTGAACAATACTCATAACAGGTGTTTAAGATGATAAATTCTAGGTTTACGTCCTAGTGTAAACATTCATATTATGATAAATGGGTACATGTAATTTACTAGTCCTAAATAGGACGAAAAGCACTTTGTGTATCCCACTGCTAGCCACTATTGAAAATATTAAGAATTATGCTTGTTTTTTCTTTACTTCGTCCTATTGAAAACAATGTTTCAGACCAACGTACTGACAACCTTTTCATGCATGAAAGAATAAAAAGGACTTAAGTTAGCATATAGACATTTTCATATCTTGGTAATTACAACACTAATTTGCTCAAATTATCTTTTTTTTTCAGTAGAAAAACTTATCGAAGTCAGCTTTCACGCATGTTAATTATATTTTTTTCGTAAGCAATAAATTAATCTTTCATCTTCTTTAAATATCTTATTCACAACTATCCATCACGAGTATGAAGTCATTATAACCTGATCTATGTGTGAAGAAACACAAATATTGTTTTTAGAAACGTAATTGCCACGAAGTCTGAACACTTGTTGCTGATAACTATGTCAGTGTTTTTTTCCTCTAAAGTAACTTTAACATAAAATATATTCTTTTTTCTCTTTTTCCCTTCTTTCTTTCTATAATTCATACTATATTCATTTTTAGTATAAGAAGATGGTAGAGGTTGTTGAATTGTATAGTTTATATTATGGATTAACATCAACCAACCATTGAAAAACAGGAAGCGCTGGATAGATTTTTTATCCAAATATGGGACTTTGATTTGTTAGCCTGTCTATACAGTGTGTGATCTGGCCTCTTTCAGTTGATCATGTCCAGAGACTCTTTGTGTCTCATTATTGTTATCTTCGAAGAACTGCTGATATCCAGTAACAACTTGCATTAATAATGCTGGGGTTATGCAACGTGAATTCAGGTACTATAACGATAGTTCACCATCTTCACACACCAGCTTTAATGATCTGGACATGTGTTGCGAATTCCATCTTAGTGGCTTTCACACGTGTATCATCTCCGGATGTTCGGGTGCGATGGCAAAAACAGTGAGGTGGTCGTTTACGGCATGGTGTCGTAGTATGGGGAATCGTTCACAGTACGAAAATGCATTCACTCCTTATCCCCCCCTCGATCTTGAATTCCAGTGTCCCTTCGTACATACCTTTACATCTTGGCATTCTAAGTCATTCCTATGGTTTAGTCTTTTTTATCATTCCTGTTACATTATTTCGGTCTATTTTGTTATTTTCATCTCATCGTGGTAATCAGGTATGGCAACCTTGATCAGACCATATTTGTTCTAAGTTCTATGTTGATAATGTTCGTCTATCACGAAATCAAACTATATAAATTTGGGATCTGTCAGTTTATTATAACTTCCTGGCTTGGGATTCTAGAGATGATCGAACTCAATCTTTTGATATGTTATCAGATATAGCTCGCAATAGAGACCGATTGCGATTCTACTGTGGTTTTATTTTACATCATTCATAAAAACTGAACTTGGACTCCTATTAGAATACTACTCCTCTTCATCAGCCGACCGTTGTTGCTACCTTAACGTGGTGGTCGGGCTTGCCTATCGTGATGAAGCAGCCGAGCTATACTGGCTGGAACAACCGTTCCTCAAGGTCCTACCATGTCAGACAGGTCGGTTGAAGAGCGGTAAGACTGAAAGCAACAAACCCAAGGTCCGAGAGCGAAGTTGTACTGCTGACTGTACAGAGGTGTGACAGCAGTAAGGTGTTTCCTTCAGACAACCAGCATAACAGCGATGCTGCCTTCCCACAAGGAGGAGTGAGGTTAGAAAAGGTCGACCCTAAAAATGCACACCTCGCCTTATCCCACGGATATCCGTCTCCGCCGGTAAGGTCCCAAAAAGTACGGAAATAACACAAGAATTACCCATAAAAAGGTCGTGTGTGACCGACCTCAAGCAGTTGTCTTTTGAGCACTGCGGTCACGCTCCCAGGTCACTAAGACCACCTCTAGCCCAATTTCCTTTTCAGGTACCTCCAGAAGAACCCTTCCACGGTGTGGGCAACCGGGAAGTGATAACCGCCCTCATACCTCTAACAGCACTCAAGACCACTGTATTCATAATCAACTTCCGTCTTCACTTCCTATTATTGCTCCTACATCGACTTTCAACTCTAAACTTCCTCTTTCGGCTTCCTCCTCAAGTGTCACCATAGCCAACGATTCTAGTGCTCAAAACACTGTCCCAGGTCTACTGAAACCTCGCTCCAAACTACACATTGGAACTTTCAACGTACGCACTCTATGTCAAATCGGTCAGCAGGCTTCCTTGGCTAAAACCCTAGAGTCTCTTTCCATTGATGTATGCTGTGTCTCTGAAACACGCATACAGGATCCCAGTGTGGTCATTCACTTGACCTCACCTCGACAAAACGGAGAGCCAGCGAGATACACTCTCCGTCTATCTGGTGACCCGACGGCCAGCTCTCGTGGGCTGGCAGGTGTGGGCAGAGCACTAAGCATGAGGGCGGAACAAGCACTGTTAGAGTGGATCCCCGTTAACAGTCGTTTATGTGCTGTTCGGCTAAACGGCTCCGTAAGAACTCGGAAGGATAGGGACACACGTCGTTGCCTTTTTGTCGTTTCTGCCTACGCTCCTACCGACTGCAGCTCAGATGAAGTGAAAGATGAATTTTACAGAAACCTAAACGCTCAGACATAGTACTCGTAGCAGGTGACTTTAATGCCCAGATAGGTAGTTTAAACCAAACAGAAAGGCATTTAGGTGGGTATTTTAGTATACCGGCACAGCGGACAGATAATGGTGACCGTCTGCTGCAACTGTGCTCAGACAATCGTTTATTTTTAGCAAACACAAATTTTAAGCATAAGGAGAGACATCGTCTAACATGGCGACCCCCTACACCAAACCAACGATGGACTCAAATAGACCATATTACCATCAGTCATCGTTAGAGAGGGTCGGTACAAGATTGTCGCTCATTCTGGAGTACCTGCTTGGACTCCGACCACGCCCTAATACAGGCACGCATCTGCTTGCGCCTCACTGGACGCAAAAAAGCCACAGTAAAAAGACCCATTAGAACCGAACTGAGTAGCGAGGAAACCAAAAGTAGGTTCCAGGAACAACTGAGGTCACGATTAGGTAGTTCTGAAGACGAGGCTGACCCAGATGTTGCTTGGAATGAAATACAAGCAGCTGTGGAAGGAGCAGTGACATCTATTAGCGACTTAAACCACAGAGTTTCAAAGAACCGGTGGATTTCTTCAAAGTCTATCACACTGATGGATTCTCGCAAACTCGTCCCATCAGGTTCCGAACATGATGAAGAGCG